TGCTGGTGCATTAAATGGCCTTATCCATCTTTTCTACAGGATGAATTTTTAGATGTGATCTACTGGTTCCGGCAGATCATCGCTGTGGTCCTGGGTGTCATTTGGGGAGTGTTGCCATTGCGAGGTTTCTTGGGAATAGCAGGGTAAGTCAGTCTTGAGTTTCTTGTATGGTTATGGTATCATTTCTTTTCAAAGAGAGGTTTTGTTGTCCTCTCATGGAAAGGGCTTGTTGGTACTTTGGAGGATGTTTTTTGTGGAATGACTAAAGCAAAGGGGTGACCGACCCCACAATGGCACTCCTGCTCTGGTGCAGCACTCTTCAGTGCGTCAGGCCTGGGACCATGTTGGGTCAAGCAGGTTACCTTCCTGAAGGCTGGGCCAGTCCATTCAGTCACAAATCCAAAGTGACCTCATGCAGGAGGCTACCATGTTATGTGCTCCTGTGGCCAGTGAGCACAGTTGACACCAGCCCCTGGTCATGGCTCACTGAAAGAGAGTCCATGTGCCTACCAGATTGAATGAAAAAGAAGTGTGAGAATTGTCTTAATTAGGGGTCATGCACAAGCTCTCATGGAAACGCATAGGCAGGCCTGTGGCCTTCTCTCTTTGGAAGGGAATACAAACTCACCCTCTCCCGTGGAAGTCCACATTGATTGTTTTAGGGCTGATTACATGCCTTATTATTCCTTTACTTTAGGGTGACAAGAGTAAAATATATTTCAGACACATCTGGTAACCCAAAAGAAATGTACACTCCCGTCTCCTAACTAGAAAAGTTTTGTGACTTGTGATACGGAACAAGGCAACCAGTGTACAAGGAAACTAGTAAGAGTTTGTGCACTGCCTGACTGTGTAAAGAGTGGACTCTTGGTGAGGACTGGTTGGTGGTGATGAGGCACAGGGCCTGGGCTTCACAGAGGTCTCCTGGTAGGTATATAGATACGTTTTTAGAATATTGGTCACCATATTTGAGCTTTTTATGAGAGAAAAGGCAGATGGCTGATCCGAAATGTTAATAATAGGAAAACGCCAGAGGCAGGAAGAGGACAACCTAAGGGCAAGAGGCTGTTTCCCATCTCCCCAAGGCCTTTGTGGGATTCTTAATGGATTTATCTGAAGTCATCCAACCTGGGAATGATATAGCAAGGACTAAAGCTAGTCCAGTATCCTTTCCACTGTGGCTGGTGAGTTAAGCGGCCCAAACACCTTTTTTTTTCTTTTTTCTTTTTTTTTTAGCTTCATAGAATGCTCCATATTTAAGTTCCAGCTTTGCCACTTTCAAACTAAACAGTTTTGGGCTCACCTCTTTGAGCCTCAGTCTCTTCATTGTTAAAATGGAGGCAATAAGAGTACCTCCCCCACAGGATTGATATGTAAATTAAATGATATAATACAAGTAAATTACTGAATGTAGTGCTTCTTACATCGAACTAAAAAAAACCAAACCTGGTGCCATCGAGTCAATTCTGACTCATAGCGACCCCATAGGACAGAGTAGAACTGCCCCATAGGGTTTCCAGAGAGCAGCTGGTGGATTTGAACTGCCGACCTTTTGGTTAGCAGCCGAGCTGCTAAGCACTGCACCCCCAGGGCTCCTCGTACATCAAAGATAGTCCATAAATGGTTCACTGTTATCATTATATATGGTTAGCTTTATAAAGAGTGGTAAATAATGGAGTGGGTTGCCCATAGTGCCTCTTTCTCATGACTGCCTGTTTTCTGGAGCTCAGTACCACACTGTCCTGCCAGAGCCAGTCTCTCCAAACAAGTTCCTTCCTTTGGTTGGCACCTTTTCCCTTGCACTTGGAAAGGGCCCAGTGACATTGATTTTTCCACACACATCCCCTCTCTTCCTTCTCTCTTCCCCTCCTCCTCAGTCCCTGTCTTATCTAGAAGGGGTGGGTCTAGGTTGAGGAGAGCCACCTTGCATGCCAACCCCAACTTGCTTCTCTTCGTTTCTCTGTGGTTTGGCTACCAGTTAGGGCCTATTAAGGTAAAGTGTCATGTCCTCAGGTCTTTTTATTTATAATTCGCTTGAGAACTGAGTAATGGATCTGCTGTCTGCTGAGGTTTTGCACTCTCAGAGAGGGCCACTGTTCATCCCCTCCTACTTCTCTGGCTCTCTCATAGAGCTTGGCACATGATTAATAGGTGTTCAGTGAATGCCTGTTAAAATTCTTATTTAAACTGAAATGAATTCCCATTGACTCTTGAAAACGGTCATACGTGAATGTTGGCATATAGCTTTCTTGCCCTAAAGTCAGGGTATTTGTTAGGGATTCATTGTTTTGTTAAAATTCTGACTGAAGTTTTCAGGAAAGAGCTTTTAAAAACCCATTTGAGAGTCAGTCTTTTCCACTGTTCTTTCCCTAACTCTAATCCAGCATATCAATTTCTGCCTCTGCACATTTGCTTGTGTAATTCCCTCCTTCATTTACAATATAGAAATTATGCCTGTTGTATTATTTGTCAGGGTTTTCCAGAGAAACAGAACCAATAGGAAATATATATATAGAGAGAGAGAGCGCCCACACAAGCAAGAGGAGTCCCTGGGTGACACAGTTAAGCTCTCAACTACCAGCTGAAAGGTTGGCGGTTTGAACCCACCCAGAGGCGCTTCAGGAGACAGGCTTCGTGATCTGCCTCCGAAAAGTCGCAGCCTTAAAAACCCTATGGTGCAGTTTTACTCTGCACACGTGGAGTCGCCATGACTCCAAATTGACTCGATGTCAGCTAACAGCAATATATATACAGAGAGAAGAGATTTATTTTAAGGAATTGGCTCACGTGATTGTGGGGGCTGGCAAGTCAGGCTGTGGGCTAGAAATCCTGGCAGTCTTGTGTCTGAAATTGGTAGATCCGGCAGCAGGCTGGAAACTCTCCACAAGACGTCCATTACAGTCTTGAGGCAGAAATCCTTCTCCTCTCGGAAACTTTAGTTTTTGCTCTTAAGGCCTCCAGCTGATTTTGAGGCCTACCCACGTTATGGAGGGTGATCTTCTTTACTTAGAGTCTATGGATTGTACCTTCATAGCAACATCCAGACCAAACAACTAGGCACCATAGTCTAGCCAAGTTGACGTAAAACTAACATCACATCCATCCTTAAAACTCAGTTTGAGCCCTTCCAGTCCCTTGCTGACCTACTGCTTGACCACCCAGCATTGGATTCAAATGCCTTTGTTTCTGTGAATTCACTTTCTACTTAGTTGCATAACCCCTGGAAGGCAGGGTCTAATGTCAGCCCTTTTCTCCCCCAGTCCTGAGGCCTGCACTTGATGGTAAATAGGTGGCTGGGTTGTACTTTGGTTGGTTTATTGCTGCCATTATTTCTCTTCATCAAGCCAAGACTGTTACTGACAAGGTGATCCAAATTTTGTGGCTTACTTAATGTTTTCCACCACATGTCTGTCAGTTTGTCATACTGCCGTGGCTTGCATATTGCTGTGATACTGGAAGCTTTGCTGCCAATATTTCAAATACCAGCAGGATCACCCTTGGCAGAGAATACCAGAAAGATGTTTACCTGTGTTTTATTGACTGTGCAAAGGCATTCGACTGTGTGGATCATAACAAATTATGGATAGTGTTACAAAGAATGGGAATTCTAGAACACTTTATTGTGCTCATGAGGAACTAACTTGTACTTCAACCAAGAGGCAGTGGTTCTAACAGAACAAAGGGATACTGTGTGGTTTGAAGTCAAGAAAGGTGTACGTGAGGGTTGTATCCTTTCACCATACTTATACAGTCTGTATGCTGAGCAAATAATCTGAGAAGCTGAACTATATGAAGAAGAATGGGGCATCAGGATTGGAGGAAGACTCATTTTAACAACCTGCGATATACACATGACACAACCTTTCTTGCTGAAAGTGAAGAGGACTTGAAGCACTTACTGATGAAGATCAAAGACCACAGCACAGCCTTCAGTATGGATTACACCTCAACATAAACCAAAAATGTTCACAGCTGGACCAATAAGCAACACCATGATAAACAGAGGAAAAAAAAATATTGGAGTTGTCAAGGATTTCATTTTACTTGGATCCGCAATCAGTGTCCTTGGAAGCAGTAGTCAAGAAGTCAAATGATGCATTGCATTAGGCAGATCTGCTGCGAAAGATCTCTTTAAAGTGTTAAAAAGCAAAGATGTCACTTTAAGGACTAAGGTGTGCCTGACCCAAGCCAAGGAGCCCTGGTGGCACAGCGGTTAAGAGCCACGGCTGCTAACCAAAAGGTCGGCAGTTCGAATCCACCAGCTGCTCGTTGGAAATCCTTTGGGGCATTTCTGCTCTGTCCTGTAGGGTCGCTATGAGGTGGAATCGACTCATCAGCAACGGATTGGTTGGTTGACGCAAGCCGTGGTGTTTTCAGTTGCCTCATATGCATGTGAAAGCCGGACATACTGATTTACACTCCTCAGCCTCACAGTACTGCCCTCCCCTACACCAGCCCACACTCATCCATTGGATGAACCAGCTCTCTGCATTTTTCCACCTCAGCCTAAGACCCACAGCCCCCCATTAGGTTAGTTGCAGTAACTGGAGCAATCATGAGGAAAGTCTTGATTGCTTTGTGAAAATTACATGATGACAGTGCCAAGAGTTGAGTAAAGCAGGGTGCATTCTGATTTCTGTATCAGCTAAATACATTACGTGGGTTAAGGACCTTCCTAGGGGGTACTCACAAACAGCTGGTTTCAATTCTACTCTCATTGCTGTTCTTAGTCCCTAACAGATGATGAGCTGAGGGCAGAACTATTGAGTTTACCTCCACATCAAGTGGAGTCCGGTGGACGTGCAGAAATTTTCTCCCGTTGGGCATTATGCAGGGGACTCCTTAGTGTGCTTTTGCTTACTCAGCTAGGCTGTGAATAAGCAGCTTAACATACGTTTGCCACATGGCCACCTCCACCCCTACCCCATCTGGAGCTGCCGGCAGGCCCATATGAGGTATTGGTCTGGTTTGGAATGGCTTACTCAGCAGCCATTCTGTCTTACTTAAAGGGAGCTTAAAGAAATTTTTTTTTTTTTTTTTTTTTGCTTTTGCTAGGCAACTATAAAGAACTGCTGCTTCTTTAAGTTGCTAACTCAGCCAGGTGGGCATCTCCATTGAGAGCCTAGGCATTTTCATGTATTATTTCACTTGCCCTGTAAAAATATTCAGACACCGTATTTTACAGACAAGGAAACTGAGACCCATGTCAAGAGACTTATCTAAGGTCTCGTGACCATGAAGTAAAGCTCAGGTTTGAGTCCAAGTCTTTCTGAGCCCAAAGCTTATTTCTTTCCAGGTCAGCCCCTGCATGGTAGGGGAAGATACATACAAAACAGTTATCTGTGGGACAGTGAGGGCCCTCTTAGAGCTGGGCAGTGGGGGTGGGAGCTCTGAGTCTTCTAAGCTTATGGTTCGTGTTTGGTGCTTGCCTTCCCTCACTCCAGATTCTGCCTGATCAATGCAGGAGTCCTGTACCTCTACTTCAGCAACTACCTACAGATAGATGAGGAAGAATATGGTGGCACGTGGGAGCTCACAAAAGAAGGGTTTATGACATCTTTTGCCTTGTTCATGGTATGTGTAACTGTTTTGTAGCAGGTACTGTTCTTTTCATGAAGTGTCAGTCACTGATTGAGTTAACCAAGTGATTGGGGTACCATTTTTCAAAAGGCTCCTGAGGCATAGCCTCTTGTGTTGTCCCAAAAAATGTGGTGCGATATGCTGTACAGCTTCCCTGTGATGTGTGAATCTTTGGCTCATCTTAGCTTTTACATCTGATTCTCAACCCTGGCTGCGTATTAGAAACAGTTGTGGAGCCTTTAAAAATATATCCATAGCATCATTAGTCACAATATCCAAAAAGTGGAATCAGCCTAAATGTCTGTCATCAAATGATGAATGGATAAAGTGTGGTATAGCCATACAATGGAATATTATTCAGTCATAGAAAATATGAAGTACTGATACATGCTACAATGTGGATGAATCTCCAGAACATACTAAGTAGAAGAAACCAGACACATACATACGTGTGATATGATTTCATTTATATGAAATGTCCAGAAGAGGTAAATCCAGAGAGACAGAAATCAGATTAGTGGTTGCTAGTGGCTGGGAGGAATGGACAGTGACTGTTAATGGGTACAGGGTAATGAAAATATTCTGGAATTAGTGATGATGTCTGTGCAATATACTAAATACCACTGAATTACACACTTTAAAAGGGTAAGCTATGGTATGTGAATTATGTTCCAATAAAGTTATTTTTAAAAATTATACACAAACACCCCTATATAGCCAGACTCTAGCCCAAACAATAAAATCAGAATCTATGGAAGGTGGGGCTTAGACATCTATATTTTTAAAAGGTCCCCAGGAGATTCTAGTGGACAGCCAGGTTTGAGAACCACTGCCTTCTTTGATACAGGATAACAGAGTCTGATGGTGTTTTTGGTTCCACATTTGTTGCTAATCCTAACACCTGTTAGCAATACAGTCTGCTTTACCTGTAAAATTCCATATCTATAACTTCAGTCTCTGGGACTCAGGTTGCTGTTTGGGTTGGGGCACGGGCCCTGGTACAGTTTGATTTCAGTGAAATAATTTAGGCCTTTAAGCAGATTATGCATTGGATAGTCCCTGGGAAGCCTATTGTGCACACATTCTTAAATGACATTTTTGTTTTCTGGAATTGGGCCTAAGAAGGCCACCACTGATCCAGGTGATCTGTAAACATTGCTTCTCTCCCTTCTAGGTCATTTGGATCATCTTTTACACTGCCATCCACTATGACTGATGGTGTACAGCCCTCACCTGCTCCCTGTCCAAAGGACCTGCTTAATTACAGCACAGAAGCACAATTGTAGGGGCACTCCAGCACGAGGAGCCTAGAAGACCCATGTTTTCTGGATGGAGAATCACTGTGTTGGGCATCAGTGTTTCGTGCAAGGGTTGTGACCTGAAACTTTTTAAAGAACCATCCACCTTTTGGGGAACCATTTCTGAATTGTCCATCGCCACCCATTTCTTCTGGGATATCTATCGCTAAACACCCATTAGCCAGTTGGAGCTGGTCATTTCTTTTGATGCATCTCTGGATCATCTGGATGAAACATTAAATTGTCTTCCTCAGTTCTCCATCAGGTGTAGAGTTTTTTAAACTATCAGTGGCATTTCAAGTCTTCTGAAAACAGTATGTCAGTATATGTGTGGTCCATAGCAAGTACAAGCAGCATCTAATAACAGTTTCCATTGTAGAATGTTTTCAGATACTTGAATAAATCGAATCTTTAATTGAAAATCTGTTGATCATACCTGGTAATGCTTCCCTCCCTCCCCCCGCAACCTCTAGCCCCAGAACCCAGTAGGAGCACTAGAGGTGGTGCCATGCCCCCACCTACTCCTCTTCCTCTTAGCAGCTCCAGCCAGATCTTTCCCTTTATGGGGATCAGGGACATCCAGGGCTGGAGTTGGCTTGGCTGCAGCCTTGGCTTTTGGAAGGAAAGAGAGGGTTTACCACCTTCAGATGCTCTAGGACCTTTGGCAAGATTCCTGCACGCCAGTGCCACGTCTGGCTCTCAGCCCCTGCCCAGCACTTAGAGATGTGACCGGCTTCAGAGCAGTGAGCTAGGCTTGAGGGAGTCATTTTCAGAGGAGGAGCTTGATGGGACATTGAGGTCCTCACGTGCCCCCATCAAGTCCCTTCTCTGACAGTCCCAGCTCGTAGATTTATTACTTCATTTTGTGGCCTTATCATTTGAACCTGGCCAAGCTCTCCCAGCCACGCTTACCACCAAATGCAAAATGACTCAGGAACTGATTGGGTCATACCCCAGGGGAGTTTTGCTCTTTCTTTTTGGAGCCCTGGCCCTGCTCTCACCTGGTCTGAACTCGGGGATTAGAAGTTGGGGGTGGGGTCATGCCACTGGGAGGAGGTAACTGACCTGTAGGGACCGTGGATACAACTCTGTGCCCTAGCCCTTGCCCTCAGTGCACAGCCATGCCTCGGGGGTGCTCAGTCAGGTTGAGCTGAGTTGGGGTGTTGGATGCTGTAGCCTTGGTTTCCCTTTCGGCCTCTGCTTTGGGCTTTGGCATCATCCAAGGAGATGTCATCAGTCAGGCGGATATAGGAGCTGAGGGCCTCCCGCAGCCCCTCGCTGAGGAGAGATGCCTCGCCTGTGGCAGATGCCTCAGAAAACAGGAAGGAGCTGTGGAGAGGGGAAAGGGAAAGAGCTGAGTGAAGCCTCCTCCTCCTCCCTGCACTCACCACACATAATCACTGTCCTCAAAAACCTATCTCCAAGTCACTCCTGCTGAAAAACTCAAAGTGGCTCCCTTTTGCTATGAGATCAAATCCCAGCTTGACTTTTCCACTCAGGACATGTCGCTCTGTCCTACCCCATCTTGTCTGACCTGCTTCACCCCCATCTTGGCCACCTTGGTACCCAGGAATGCTTGGTGTCCACACCTGCTTTCTCCTCCCTTGACAATATGTCCTACAGACCTGCTGAGCCTGGTTTGGGCTCTAGGAGTTCAGCCAATGCTCACTGACTCCCAGATGTCCCTGAAGGTGACAAACCCATTCTGGGTTCCCCAGGGGCAGCTCCTTCTAAATCTTCTTGGTTATGTTTATGGTCCAGGGGCCCTCTCACCTGTCCAGCTCTTTCCAGTTGAGTGCCATCCTCTGCACAGTCACAGGTGGGGGCATAGCCTTGACAGGAAGTGGGTCAGCCCTCCGCAGGACACAGGGCTCCTTGAGGAGGCAGCAGATGTCATCTGCCAGCTCTGAGGAAGACACCTGGGTTCTTGACACTGCTGACTCCAGCCCTGCTTTCCTCTCCAACACCCTACCCTTACCCTGACAGCTTTCCACACTTGGGGGCGTGGTCACAAGAGTTAGTGACAAGACTTGAGTCCCAAGCTGTTGGTTTCATGGAGCTGAAATGTGGTCAAAGGTCATACTGGGTTAGGTTTTGGGAGGTCTAATTCACTGTGTGACTTTGGGTGAGTTGATGGACCTCTTTGAGCTGCAGTTTCTGGATAGGAAAGTGCTTAGGGAAGAAAGCTATGGAATGCTCAATCTCTACTTCTAGTAATGTTGGTATCTACTCCTACATGGAGCAACCCTCCAGAAAACCACTGATAGGTCCCCCGGGAGTGGTCTTTTCTCTCTGCCCTTTTGACATCGTGCCCTGGTGACTGCATCCTCCAGTGCCTGTGACAGGACAAACACCAGGAAATGCTAAGAAGAATCAGAAGTGAATCCAACAACAGCAACAATTCCTGAGGAGAGAACGGTGCCTGCTGCTGGGGACTTTGAATCAGAACCAGATGTCTGGGAACACTGAAGCTGAGAGAGGGAAGAGAAGCTCACAAAGGATGTCTGGTAAGATGCTGGTGTCTGTGGTTCTTCTGTGGCAGGGCATGGGTTGAAGACAGAGCTCCCAGCCTGCGTTTCTTGGCACAGGGACTTGCACCCCCTTCTGTCTCGATATTTTCCAGCAGGTAAAGTGTCTGCCCTCCAAAACATCCCATCCCATGGAGGCAGGGAAAAGCCATACCAGAGTAATGGTCCACCAGGGCCTGGAGTGAGGGGAAGGTGAGGCGCGGTGAGATGTACAGCCAGCCGTTGTCCAAGCGCTGGATCCTGTAGTGTCTGATCCGGTCCCAGGACGTGGGGCGGCTGAGTCGGACTGACAGAGAGTAACAGCCTGAGGAGGAAAGGGTCCAGGGGTGGCACTGAGGCCCTGCTGGGACCCAGCCCCACAGAGGTTGGGAGAATAAAGAGATGAGATACAGCCACAGGAAGTGGTCAGGGGAAGGACAAAGACTTGGTCTCTTGGCATAAATAACAACACGTTCATAATAGGGCTCCTGTGGGGATGAAATGAGATCATGCACATAGACCCCTCAGTCCAAGGCCTGACACAGTGTTGGCTGTTATAAAGATTTGGGTGATGGAAGTTTTAGAATGTGAAAATGTGTCAATGGGTCCTTGGTAAGGACCTAGGGAAATAGGAACTCTCTTACCCTGCTGGCAGAAGGATAAATTAGTACAACCCACTTTGGAAATGGTTTGACTAGTTTAGCATTAACTAGTCAAGTTGAACATGCACATACTTTATTATCCAGCAGTTCCACCCTAGAAATGTTACCTTAGAAATACACGAAAAAGAATGTTCATAGAAGCATTGTTTACAAGCCAAAATCTGCAAACAGCATATATGCTCTAAATAGTAGAATGATGGATTATAGAATGTAATACTGTACAGCAATAACAGTAATCACCACACACATAATCATACATAAATCTTAAAAAATAATGAGCAGAAACAGCAAGTCACAGAAACCTACATTCAACGTGATTCTATTTGAATAAAGTTCAAAGACAGCCAAGACTACATTATATATCGCATAGGAATATGTGTGTGGCAGAGCAATGAAGAAAAGCAGCTGAATGATTAACACAGTGAAGCATGCAAGGGGTTTCAAAAAGATTGTTATCATGCTATTTCTTAAGCTGGTAAGTAGGAACATGGATGTTGTTTTTATTATTAATCCTTAAACTGTATATACCCAGTTGTTGCTGTTAGGTGCCGTCAAGTCGGTTCCGACTCATAGTGATCCTGTGTACAACAGAACAAAACACTGCCACAGTCCTAGGCCATCCACATGATGAGCCCATCATTGCAGCCACTGTGTCAATCCATGTCGTTGAAGATCTTCCTCTTTTTCAATGACCCTCCACTTTACCAAGTGTCTTAGTTATCCAGTGCTGCTATAACAGAAATACCACAAGTGGATGGCTTTAACAAAGGGAAATTTAGTTTCTCACAGTCTAGTAGGGCAGAAGTCCAAATTCAGGGTGTCAGCTCCAGGGGAAGGCTTTCTTTCTCTGTTGGCTCTGGAGAAAAGTCCTTCTCGTCTATCTTCCCCTGGACTAGGAGCTTCCCCATGCAGGAACCCTGGGTCCAAAGGATGTGCTCCGCTCCTGGTGCTTCTTTCTCAGTGGTATGAAGTCCCCTGCCTCTGCTCACTCCCCTTTCCTTTTATCTCTTGTAAGATAAAAGGTGGTGCAGGCCACACCTCAGGGAAACTCCCTTTATGTTGGATCAGGGATGTGACCTTAGTAAGGGTGTTACAATCCCACCCTAATCCTCTATAACATAAAATTACAGTCACAAAGTGGAGGACAACCACACAATACTGGGAATTATGGCCTAACCAAGTCGACACATATTTTGGGGGGACACAATTCAATCCATGACACCAAGCATGATGTCCTTCTCCAGGGACTGGTCTCTCCTGATAACATGTCCAAAGTATGTAACACAAAGTCTTGTCATCCTCACTCATATAGCATTCTGGCTATACTTCTTCCAAGACAGATTTGTTTGTTCTTTTGGCAGTCCATGGTATATATTCGATATTCTTCACCAATACCACAACTCAGTTGTTCTTCTTTGGTCTTCCTTATTCATTATTCAGCTTTTGCATGCATAGGAGGCAACTGAAAACACCATGGCTTGGGTCAGACGCACCTTAGTCATCAAGGTGACATCTTTGCTTTTTAACACTTTAAAGAGGTCTTTTGCAGCAGATTTCCCCACAGCAATGCATTTATTAACTTCCTGACTGCTGTTTTCAGGGACGTTGATTGTGGATCCAAGTAAAATGAAATGCTTGATGATTTCAATCTTTCCTCCATTTATCATGATGTTGCTTATTGGTCCAGTTGTGAGGATTTTTGTTTTCTTTATGTTGAGGTGTAACCCATACTGAAGGCTGTGGTCTTTGATCTTCATCAGTAAGTGTTTCAAGTCCTCTTCACTTTCAGCAAGCAAGGTTGTGTCATCTGCATATCGCAGGTGGTTAATAAATCTTCCTCCCATCCTGTTGCCCCATTCTTCTTCATATAGTTCAGCTTCTCAGATTATTTGCTCAGCATACAGACTAAATAAATATGGCGAAAGGGTACAACCCTAACACACACCTTTCCTGACTTTAAACCACGCAGTATCCCCTTGTTCTGTTCAAACAACTGCCTCTTGATCTGTGTACAGGTACCTTATGAGCACAATTAAGTGTTCTGAAATTTCCGTTCTTTGCAATGTTATCCATAATTTGTTTTGATCCACACAGTCAAATACCTTTGCATGGTAAACACAGGTAAACATCTTTCTGGTATTCTCTACTTTCAGCCGTGATCCATCTGACATCAGCAATGATATCCCTCGTTCCACATCCTCTTCTGAATCTGGCTTGAATTTCTGGCAGTTCC